GGGCCCGTGACAGACGGGCCAAGGAGGGGAGAGAGGCGGCGGCGGCGGCGCAGGCGACGGGGAGGCAGCGGCGGCGGCGGCGACACCATGTCATCCCCCAGCCCCGGCAAGAGGCGGATGGACACGGACGTGGTCAAGCTGTATCCTTCATGGAGGGGAATTCGGACTGCGTGTGGGGCGGGTGGGGGTGCCCAGGCGAGGGCTTCGGGGCACTCCAGGCCACTGGCCGCGCCTCCCTCCCTCCCTCCCTCCCCCGGTGCCTACGGCGGCCCCTTAGCACCTCCAGGAGCCGAGGGCTTTTTCAGTGCCCCTTTATCTGCAGCCCCCCGAGATGTGCGTTGCGCCTCGCTCTCCCTGCACCCCCCGGAGCCCGTGACTTTTCCTCCACGACGTTTGGATTCCTAAGACGGCCTTTCTTTGGGGGGGGGGCGCAATAACTAGCCGCCTCCTTCGTCACCGGGAGCTCGTCTTCAGGGTCTTTGCTTCCTGTTTGCTAGCTTTGGATTTATGGACTCAAGATAGAAATTTCCTGAGAGGGAAGCCTTTCTTCTTTCTTTCTTTTTCTTTTTTCTTTTTTTTAAAAAAGGTGTCCGGGTTCCTTCCACTCACAGTGCTGCTTAAACCGGGGTAACTCAATCGACCTTCTTTATCCCTAATTCCTTTCTATATTAGGAAGAGAGTAGTCTGCTCCGGGCCCCTCTTGTAATAAAGAGCTCCGTGTGTTTTAAATCAGACACTCCTGTTAAGCCTTCTGGTCTGGAGAACGTTCCTGTTTTTCTCTCTACTGACAAAGCCTATCCCACTCACAGTGCGTGCCGTGAGGACCCCCAGGCCCTCGTAGCAAGCAGGCAGGCCACCCTCCATATTGTGGATCTGACAGCTGGGAGGAAGGCGAGAACAAAATAGCCCCTGTGCTAGCCCCTTGAGCAGAACTCCCTCTGAGAGAGTACGGTTCTTGGGGACTGCTTGCCCTGATCTGGGCCAAGTGACATCTTTTATTTTCTACTCCCTCCCCCCAACTTTATGTACACCCGAGGTTGCAGTGGGAGAAGCTGTGACTGATAAGTCTTCCAGGCAGTGGTTTTGGTTGGAATCCAGACTGATTATTTCATGACCAGCCAGAGAAATTCGCGAAGGTTCCTGCGACAAATCGAGTATTTAAAAAATGTTTTTATATATTTTTTTTTATTTTTTGAGGGCTAATGGGTGTGTGTGTGTGGGGGGGGCGAGAGCCTAGTGTTGTAAATAGCTAATCCCTTGGGAGAAGGTGAAAGGCTGTTAAAAAAGTCCTGTCTTCTGTTTCTCTTTCTGCCTCGCCCCCATCCCCCACCGTTTCCCCCTGTTGCAGGATTTTGTTTATATAACTCAAGTTGTTTGGCTAGATTCTTCAGGTGAATTCTTTTATTTGTTGCTGTTTTTCATTGTTTTGCCTTTTCTAGCAATTAGTGGTGGTTGTCAAAAAACTCAGTTATGGAATTTGCTGAAGTTTTTAAAAAGTAGTTTTTGCATAGGATTTCAGTTTGGGGGAGGGGAGGGGAAGTTGCCTAGGCAAGAGGTTTTTTTGTTTTTTTTTTTTTAATCTTCTTTTTTTTTTTTTTGTCCAGTCCATCTTTTCAGGATAAGAATGTGTTTTTCTTCTTGCCCAGGGGAGATCTGGCTAGAAATTAAGAATAGTGGGTAAACTCGGAAGTTTAGGGTTTGGGGAAGGGTAGTAGGAGGGATCAGAGAGCAGCCATTAGTAAAGGGTAATAGCCAGATACATACCTAGGCACAAGTGAAATCAACTCTATGAGCTGCTTGTGGCTGTGATTGCTTTTTAAATGTGTGAATGATAGCAGGATTGTTGGCTTTTCATAAGACTGCAGGAAAACTTGTAACTGTGGCTGTGTGTGTATTTTACACAAAGCAGTTTGGGGCGTTATTTTTATTTAGAAACTAGGAAATGACATGGTGGTAGACTTAGGAGTTATTTTTGTCTTGAATTGCGAGTTGCTGTCACACCTAAAGTGAATTTCACTCTAATGTATAATTGGGATGGGGGGATTCCAGCTGTTTTTGATCGATGTCAGTTCCTCACATTCCGTTCATATACAGATTTCTAAAAGATTGAGGATGAAGATCGAGGCCTGACTTGACCTGATGCCTTTTCTCTACAGTGCCTTTTGTTCATGGAGTAGTTGTGGCATCTACAATGATTACCGCATTTAGGAGTCCGGGGGTGGGGGGTGGCGGGGCTGGGGGGTGGTGAGGGAGAGGGAAACAGACAAAGAACAGCAGGGTGTCTCTTTCCCCTCTCCCTAAGTGGCTTATTTCATAGCTTATTTTTAGTAGAAGATGAAGAAAGGCAAAGATACATTGGCTCTGTTCTTTCTCCACCTTCCCTTTGCTGACAAAAGAAAGCAGGGCTCTTTAAAATTGTAGCTTTCTCAATAAGATGATACCAGTTTTGGTTTGAAAGCTAGAGGGTATCTCTGCTTCGAGTTTATTTTCTGGTTTAATGTAGTTTGGAAGTTAAACATTTCGGGTTTCCTTTTGTGTGTTGGTGTGTATTGTGGAGGGTTTTATGGCCTCCTGTCTCAGTTGAATTCACATCAGTAGGCCCAAGGGGAGTTCACAGTTTTGGGTAAGGTATCCTTAGCAGCGAAAAATTTTAAGAGCTCATTTCCCAGCCTTCTGCTAAGATGAGTACAATTGCGTGTCAGTGACGAGGGTGAAAAATGAAAGATGGTGGTAAGAAGTGGAAAGAAGAGGTCTGAAGGAATGCATGGCTCTCCTTGTCCCTTGTCGTGGACGAGTTCTTTGGTGTGGAGGCTGATAGCTGTTTTCATCGACGTCTCCTGTTTCAGCCCAGTTTTAGCTGTCTCTGGGCGTAATTATACCACAAGGATTTACAGCCTGGCAGGGAACCTATATAGTAGGAAAGTAGCGGTGTGGGGGTAGGGAGGGAAGAGGATGTGTGACTAATTGGTCACTGCTCTCCACCACCTTGCTAGACACGGTCTCTCCAGAGTCTGATATTTCTTTTGTGACGGGTTGGCAGGGTAGCTGACTCCCAAGTTATGCAGGGAGTGAGTGTTTTGCACCAATGCACTTAATCTGCTGGGCGATTATGCTCTGAAACTCTGACTCATTCATTGTTTCTCTTCTGAGCCTCATCTGAGGGTTGTGCAAACCTCCACAGGAGCCGAGAAACTGATTTGCATGACTTTTGAGCACTGTGGAATCAAAACACTTGTCCTTAGCCTAGGTCTGGTGGAATGGTCTTAGTGCAGCCATTTGCTTGCCCGAGTCAGGTGGATTGCCAGCCCGAGAGCAGCACAGGATCACCAACCTTTGAGGTTTCCATCGGCAACCACTGATTATTTAGATTATTGTCTGAGACCTAGGACTCTAGTGACCTTAAGCGTGATTTGCCCTAAAGGAATACTGGTTGAAGTTCTCCCTG